GAGACCCTGTGGGAACTGTTTCCATTTTTCCAAAGCTGTTTTGCATCATTTTGCAGATATGGCATGTCAATGCTTTAACAACCTTTTGTGTCAGCAGCGGGGCAATTTGTCAGATGACATGGGATGAGAAAACACGCAAGTAGGCACAGAACTTGGGTTAACTTACCTCCTGTTTAAAAACAAACACAGGTATATAGCTCCCTAAAGGCAACATCTTCTCGCACAGCAATAGGAGGTTACAAGAGTAAGTGGTGGGCTTTTTTTTTTTTTTTAATGTTGAAGTAATGCTTGATCCTGCCTCTATTTTGTGATTAGCGCTACTCACAACTTACTCAAATTTCACCCAAAGAATCGAGAGACCTGCTGTGTCCAGAACTCCCAAAGAGGGTGAGACAGGGCTAACTTCAGCCATTCTGAGGACTCCTACCCACAACCAAAAGTGACCAATTTGCAGACAGGGTAAACCATTAGAGCCTAAGGGGAAACAGGAATCTCTTTAAACCTCTTAGCGTGAAGCAGGCCATGAAGCAACTCCAGGTAGCAGGGCTGCCCTTCTCCTTGGCTGCACGCAGCATTATACCCCCTTAATCCTAAAATGTGATTTACGGCTCAGGCTGTAAGGGGAGAGACGCGTGCCAGCATTTGGTCTGCCTCTGAATCAACGTGAGCTTACTCTGTAAGCACATACATTTTGCATGTGCTTACAAAGGGTATCAACAGACAGTCAAAACCAACCGGGTTACAACCAACGGCTGTATTATCGTCCATCATCTGAGCTATCCAGTAAGCAACACGCTCCCAGCCAGTAGTGACTGTCAAGTGAGACGCGTTAGTTTAACCCATTTCACTCGAACAAGCTCAGTGAGGCTTTTCCAACCTCAGCAATGCAAAAGCGTCAGCATCCAGGGCCGGTCTCAGCCCTGCAGGTACTTCAGCAGTCACTTAATGTTACCTGAGTGTGCTTCGCTAACGTCAAGAAATAAGTTTACACGGTGAGAGCTGACGTTTCTCTGGAGAAAAACCTCTATTTTTTTAGTCAAAGCTATGCTTATAGTAAGCAAGAGAATACCTCCAAGGGGGTTTAAATGAAAACATGGTGTCATGGAAAGCCTCCTGCTCATGCCTTAGTCCATCAAACCAAAACAACACTTTCATAGTAGTGTTGTCATTTGCCACTGTTATTTACTTGGATTTTTTATCTTTACAATCTACCCTCCTCTTTTATTTGTGATCACAATTATATCATGCTCCATTGATTTCATCTCAACTGCTTCCACCGAGAGCGTGCTGCTATTGAACACAGTTGTGACTGCAATTCAGGGCTCATCAGAAGAAGAGGGACAAAGGTATTTACGCCCTGAAGAACGGTACCAAAAGCATGTACAAAATGGTAAAATATTGACATGAGCCTTACCATCTTCCCAGCACCTGCACCCTACTCAGACGAACAGCACTGACGGGACGTAGCCACACAATATACATCCCAGGGAAAACCAAGACCAAGATGCGGCAGAGCATGTGGTGCAGTTTCTCTTGCTGTGCCATCCAACCAACCCAAATCTTGGCACACTGGAAGACTTTTCTGATACATTGCCTAAACTGTAACTTCTAACCTAGAAACTTGAAAGTTTCTTTCAGGGCTGCTCCCACTCTCCAGAGGTTACAGTTTAGCAGTCCTGGAGCTCCACAGGGCAATTTGTCCTGCAAACCGGCATGATCATGTACTGCGGCAGAAACTAACGGTTCAGAGTCAGGGATGTGACCTGTGTAGCTTGCTTACTTGAGAGCGACACTGCTGCACGCATCCCCTCTTGCATGTGTCTGCAGGGTCTGGACCTTAAAAGTTATCCCAAGGCTTTGTGTTACCGAAACGGAAATCAGAAGCCTGTACGCACCATATATTGCAATCTCTGCCTGGGGTTTGTGAAGGTTGCATACGCTCCTGGGTTTGCAGCGGGCTGGAGGGTATTCCAGCTGCCTAGATGACAGGCAGCTAAAAATATGTATGGATACCCGTGAGCCTGCAGTAGAGATGATTTCTGGAGCGTGACTTAGGGCCTGATCCAGACCTCTTCAAAGCCAATGAGCCTATATCGAGCTCAGTCCCTCCATGCCTCTGTTCCCTGACTGTAAGACAGAAAAAACAGCACACCCTCTCTCCTACACTTTCCACCCATTATTCACTCCCTAAACTCCTCGGGGCAGGGGCTGTCGTCATTTGTTTGGTGTACAGAGGGCACGTTGCCCACTGGGGCACTGATCTTATCCATCCCTCTCAGCTGTAATGTACACACTCGTGGTAATAGCATTAGCAATACAGAACAACATTAGATCCCCGCTCTAGTACAACGTGTGTCCAGCCGACCTCAGCCACACAGCGAATACAGAGATGATACGAGATATAATTTGACTTCAGGCGCTCTTGGTGTCTGTGTGTAGTTGTCGTACACGGGTACAATCCCACACACTTGTAATAACCGCTACCCCGAACCACATCACATTCATTTATCTTTACTGCCAGTTTTCCTAAGTCACAGAATCACAGGGCGGTTCCTGTCGGAAGGCACCTCTGGAGATGGTCTGGTCCAGCCCCTGCTCAGGCAGGGTCACACAGAGCAGGATTGCGTCCAGTGGAGCTTTGAATGTCCCTGAGGATGGAGACCGCAACCTCTCCAGGCAACCTGCTCCACTATCTGACCACCCTCACTGTAAAAGAGTTTTTCCTCACACACAACCTCTGGAGATGGTCTGGTCCAGCCCCTGCTCAGGCAGGGTCACACAGAGCAGGATTGCGTCCAGTGGAGCTTTGAATGTCCCTGAGGATGGAGACCGCAACCTCTCCAGGCAACCTGCTCCACTATCTGACCACCCTCACTGTAAAAGAGTTTTTCCTCACACACAAACGGCATTTCTTGCATTTCGATTTGTGCCCATCGCCTCCTGTCCGTTCACTGATAAAATGACTGATAAAGCGCTCTTTCTCCTCACCGCACGCCAGCAAATTAGCCTCACGCTTCTCAGGGCACTAGCAAGGCTGCACACACGGCC